TATTGAAGCTCTAAAATTATCCTCTCTTAGGCTCTACTGTAAAACAATCATCCGACAATAATCTTTGCAATATACCTTATAATGATATCTTCAAGTATGGAGCAAATATTGACAAAATACTCAACATTTAAAACCCTTATTGGAAAGATGTTTTAAAAGCATGGAACAATTATTGCAAAAAGTTCAATGCTGATTCGGACAATATTGATTACATTCTTGCAGAACCATTATGGCTCAATCATAATTATAAAAACCCTTGCCATATTATTATACACTGGGCGGATAAGGGTTTTTTGACAGTAAAGGATTTATGTGATGAACATGGATTTATGCCATTTGATAAGTTAAAGAAAAAAAAAAAAAAAAAAGAGGGACACTATTAGACTATAACTATCTACTTCACATCTTACCTGATATTTGTTAAGATGTTATTAAAAGGACAAGAATAATTCCTTCCTACAATTTATACATCAATGTTTAACAAAGAAATATGTTAAAGCTCTCCAAAGGTATCTAAAAATGATAACCTTGAAATTTGTACTAAATGGGAAATTATGTTCAATGATTGTGAATTTGATTGGTACAAAATGTTTAACTTTTATAGACATGGATTGAAAGACGTTAAACTTCTTGATTTTCAATACAGATTTTTGCAAAATGTTATTTATACTAAAACAGAATTATCGAAAATGAACATGATTGACAATGGTTTGTGTAGTGTTGCAATGGTGTTTCTGAGAGCATTTGTCATGTTTATTGGAAATGTTGTGAAAGCATGAAATTCTGGAATGATATAGAACTCTGGATTAATAACTATTTACCACGAAAAATAAACATCACAAAATATTGATTTAGTTTGGTTCATTGCATAATGATGTATTACTAAATCAAATCATTATCTCTGCCCAAAAACATAGCAATTTATGTAACATAAAAAAAACAATTCCAAAATTCAGTAATTATAAAAAGGTATTAAAAGAGATATTTTCTGTAGAAACATTTATTTCAAAGAGAAACAATAAAATTGAAAAAATCAGTCTTAAATGGAATTCACTCATCCCAATATTCAGCAACTAATTATTATTACATCTCTACAGCAATGTATCTTCACCTTTTCTGTGTCTGTTGCTACCGTATACCCTTGTTGTTGACTTTGTAACCATGGGAACAAATTTAAAAAAACAAAACAAAAAACTTTAAAGCATAATTACTGCTAGGTTAGAAGTTACTTTGGCTGAATAATAATTCAAATGAAAACATCAATTGAGAATAAAATTATTTCTGCAACGAAATGCAAACATAACTTTAGAATTTAAATTCCTATTCAATAACCATAAGCATGATAAAAAAAAAACAATACTCAAAAAATGACATTACTCAAATACCTTCAAAATTGAAATATAACCTAGAAAACACATGAGATAAACTAACATTTGTGTTCCAAAACTCTTGTCATTCACACATGTCTGTACACCATGAGGCCTTCCACTGTTATGCCATGTGGCTGGATTGCATGAACTGCACATGCTTTTGAGTCACATGACCGAACAATGCCCAACCACCTCTCTAGACTTTCTGCTAGGCTCTTATGAAATTTAATTACATGAAATTTCAAATGAAATTACTTCTTGTGTTTTGGTAACTTGTAAGAATATGATTTAAATATAATTTAAATGACAGAAAACTACTTTTGGAAACAAAATTATGAAAACAGTTTGTAATTAGCATTGAAAACAAAATCTGCATTCACAGATGTTATGCCTATTCCTTTGGAGTAGTTGATTGGACTAAGCAAGACATCCAGTGTCTTGACCGCCTGATCAGAAGGATCATGTCTGATAACAGAGCTCACAGGCCTCGTTCCTCTGTTAATCGTTTATATATGCCAATCAATTCTGGAGGTCGGGGTTTGATTAATGTGGAGGCACTTCATGATAGATTTTTATTGTGTACTTTTGCACATATGTATTTATCGGATGATCCTCTCGTGATGCATGTGAAGACTCATGATGAAAACAAGGAATTCCACAGCTATTTTACGCGTGCCAAGGTTGTTGGACAGAATCTGAAATTTGAGGTTGATTTTGCTGATGGCGATGTACTGCTGGACGGTACAGCGATGGGAGGAAACCAAGTTATTCAGCAAGTCTGCCCAGAGTCGGACATTTGTGGAGAGGTTTTCTGAGAAACCATTGCATCGTGTGTACATGCAGTGTGTGGAACAGAATAGCAATCCCACCGACTCCTTCGCCTGGATGAAGTCGGCTGGTCTTAAATGTGAAACAGAGGGCTTTCTTTTTGCTGCTCAAGAACAGTCACTTCCCACTCGCAACCGCCAAAATGTGATTCTTAAAGAAAATATCAACATGAAATGTAAACTGTCCAACACCTTGTCAGTGGATGCCATTCCTTGGCACCAACAGCATATCTTAAACGACATGATGGCATGGCTCGTTGCTTTTATTACCGTCTCCGCCATGCCTGTTGCTTTGACTCTGAGGTCCATCCTAGGTACGACCCTGAACATGCCCAGGGCGTCTTGGAAAATGATGCTTTCAAATTACTGCGGGATAGGCCAATATACAGCCTTTAGAAGAATTCCAGCCAGCAAACCTGATCTTGTCCTTTTTGATAAAGCCAATGAATTTATTTATATCATTGAATTGTCTGTCCCTTTTGGCAACAACGTGATTGGCAAGATTCAGGAAAAGCATGCCAAATATGCAGACCTCGCCTTTGAAATGTCTCGCTTGCATCCCAAGTACACTGTCGTCAGACTCCCTATTGTTCTCGGTGCTCTTGGTTTGGTACCTCCTGATCTCTTGGCGCCGATCAGGAGAGTGCCCGGGTTCTCCCGGGAGCACAGCCCTTCTGACAATCTGGGTAATGCAGAAGGCTGCAGTGTTGGGGAGTCTACATATTGTCCGTGGTGGGTTCGACTAGGCAGCATTTCCTGGGAGAAGTCCCATTCGCTGTCTGGGCTGCGTGTAGAGGGGGCGAGCTGATGATGAGCCTTACCAGCCTGACTGTGCCAGGATCACCCGAACCCTCTCTGCTGCATACTATCTTTAATCTGTAAAAAATAATGAGAAGTTTTATAATGCGCTAATCTCCACGCAACGAAGCATGCTCAAAGCGCCAACAACCTGATTATTATTACCCCGGATAACCCAAGCTGCCTGTTAGGCGCTAGAAGGTTATAGTCACATGACTTTATCCAACCGGGTACCCATTTTCTGCTGGGTGAACAGAGGCAATGTTGAACAAACTCACTTGCCTAAGGTGAGACCACATGTATCACATGTGCTTCGTTGTGGGGCAGGACGGAAGTCCTAGAAACTCTCAAGAGTCAAGCCGTCAAACACGGTCTTCCATCCAAGGTCTGTCCGAGCTCACCGTTGCGTTTCATTCATTCCGTGTCGTTCCGTTCCGCACCGCAACGTACCATACCATTCGTTCGTTCGTTCGTTCGTTCGTTCGTTCGTTCGTTCCTTCATTCATTCGATAACCACAGATAAACTTGTTCTCCATGCTCAAGAAGGATGGCTGTGAAATGTATCTACTTCCCCGGTGCGCACCGGGTAGTAATCGAAAAACACCGACATTTTTTCCAACACTGTTTTCTGGCTACATGAAAGTATGACAAATACTGGACTTTTGTAACCGGGTCTCTTATATAGTGAAGCTCTCTCCAATACTTACGGTATTGTTTTAATAACTGTCAACCTGATCCTGCGAGTTATAAATAGGTAGTAATATTTCTGGACCTTGTTGATTTCACATTTATTCGCGTTTCAGTTTGGGAATCAGCACGGAACAAATTAAAGCTAATGCACTCACAACATACGAACGTATTTCTATGAAGCGATATGCTAATAATATACCGATATTCTTGTTACCCATTGTACTCGTGCATTATACTGACGATTCATTATCATATTACAAGAAAATGTTTTGAAACTGTTTTTGTCTAAGTGAACAGCGCTGATTGTAACTGCACGTACGCTTTTCAGTTGACTAACTCTAGACATAGTCCTTTTCCTCATTTCAGTGAGCTGAAATGAATATCATTTCCTTTCATTTGGAAATAATGGTAGGATATATGTATCACTGCGTGTTTTTACAATGAAGAATTAATAGGTTTGCTAAAACAGATGTTTTAACGCAAAACACCATGTTGTCTGCCGTAAATTCACACCCTCCTGACTGTTGTACTCAGAGATCAATAAAACCTCTGCTTGCGTAAAGCACAACATCGGAACCAATGTGCGCAAAAAGGAATAGCAGCATCAGTAAGAATGTGATTTGGATCTGGTTTCTGTGTTAACAATCCAACATGCTTTGTAACTACTGCTGAACCTGCTACTATCAACAAATGTGAGCTACCATTATATACCTCCGTCAGGGTTAAATATTCGTGTCAAATGAAAACCGTTTCTTCAACTACAACCACGTTAACGCTGGTACAGGGTCGGGTCGTCATTTTGAAGAGGCAGGTGAGCAGGTTTATGGTGTGGCAGGTTGTTAACAATCAGGAGACTTATCCCTGGAAGTGTGTTCTGGACGTTGTCGTAGTTTTTATTCATGAGAATGGTGAGCTTTTTGTGTCGCTGTCATGTTGGGATGGTGTGGAGGCAGGATAAGATGCAGCTATTGTCTGTTCATCTTCCTGTAGACACTTCACTAGTTCTGAAAACCCGGGAAACCCTGTTAGAATTGGTCTTCATCAACCCATGCTTGTCCTAAGAGGCTACGAAGAGGATCGAGTTGTCAGGCTCGCTGACTTGGATGACACCTATCATCGTATCCCAATTCCGTAGACCGATGTTCATGCTGTTGATCACTGGATTGTCGGTTCCAGACACGATTATTTACAGACAGCCGGCATAAAGCTTGAATGATGTCGAGTGCGGCGTTAAACAAACAAACACAGTGCTGAAACTATGACATCTGTATGAACCAAAGAACTACCTCCAGGGTTTAGGTTCCTTATTTTTCAGATCCCAGATCCCAGATCTCAACACTCCTTGTCTGGTTATTGGCCACAGCTGCAAGGTTTGACCGTTCTGACAATCTGAACCACCGTGGTAAAGTCCCGATAATATGCTGCTGCAGTTTCTGCTATTGTAAGAGATTTGTAACAGTCCTGTGATTACTCAGCTATTTCCTGCAATAATATGGTTTTCTAACAGTTATTGAATTCGGTTTAGAATTGATACTCTCAACAGCTGACGACAAATGTATAATTAGTTTAAAAGCAGCGGAGCGGACAAGACTGAGCATTTAGGGTACTAAAATGTAGACTATAATGAGTCAAATTATAGTGGTTGAAACGGAAGCACTGTTGGAATTGCCATGTGCTGATGGCTTACATATTGCTGGATCATGGTAAGAATTATGCTGGACCTCGTTATATGAAATATGTAATCGGACAGAGATATTCGTTTTGATCATCAAACAACATACAACATCCATGCATTTACTTTTTTAACGTAGATATTAACTTACAAATATGACATTATAAAATCATATTCCTGTATATATTCTCCCCTAAAAGAGACGCATAGGTGTATTTTCACGATCTTAATCTGCTGACTTTAAAGTGAGATAACACATGTAATCTTGGATCAGTTGCAGCCTATTTTCACAGTATAAACGATCAAATGTCTGTTAACATGTATATGTTATACACGGTTTAATAAGTCAAGTCGTCCGTTCCCAGTTGGGCTTTTTCTTTAATTTTTGCTGTGGTCATCATGAGCCCCAAAACTGCTCTGCACCGTTTCGGCATGGACGACTGAATAATCTGTAAATTTGACCTTGTGGAATTCTTGGCCATTACTCTTGCAATGCCCGTGACATTTGGTCTAACATCTAGGTCTCTGGTTGACGTTCAACTTACGCGTCGGCCGAGGTTATCCCACAAATGCTTGATGGGGTTGAGGTCATGGAATCACTGTAATGTTCTCACTCTGAGGATTCTGTACAGTGGCATGTGTTGTGTGAGGCATGGCATTGTCTTGCAGGAACAACTCCCTCGGGCCAACAATGATCGGAAGCATGTGAATCCTTAAGACGTCCTCTCTGTAACGAATAGCAGTTACATTGCACTGAGAGCAAATAAAGTTAGATTTCTCAGTGTAGGATAACCTGACGACACAATTCTAGGCAAAACGTTCATTTTGACGTCGATAGACACGTACTCTTCCGTGACAGCACTGAAGCAGACAGCGTGATTCGTTACCGAACCATACATGTCGCCAGGTTTGTAGATTTCAGAATCGAATGGTATTGCTCTACTTGACCATCGATATCGATGTAGTCGTCAAATTAGGGGTCAAAATAGGGTCTTCTGGCTCGAGGTAAAGCTTCTCGTAAACGATTACGAATGGTTTGCACCGACACTCTCCGCAAACCAGGCACTGCACTTGCAGTTGCAGTTGCTGTGACAGTTCGATTCCGCAAATGAAGTACCCGGATGTACCTGTCCTGCGCTGCAGTGGTAATCCGAGGTCTACTACATCGAGGTCGATCCTGCGTAGAATAGGTTCATTGATATCGGTGCCATAAACGACTGATAGTACTCTGGGAAACATTGAGGTGTCGTGTAACGGCAGACTGAGACTCCCCAGCCTCCAGACGTCCAATGGTAATGTTTTGATATACAGCAGTGGATCGCGACATAACAATTCTTTCATTTAGCTAAAAATATGGCAAATATCTCAAATATCTAAAAGCAAAAGGCCTTACACAGGCAATTTCCCTCCTCATGATTACTCAGAACTGCAAGTGCATATTGCGTACCCCCTTTTCTCCTTGAATTCTTCATTCAAGTTGACACTTTGGAACGTAAACGTGCATTTAATTTTCCACAGATGCGTTTCAGCGCTTTGCATACGTTCCATATACACATACCACCATAATATATAATGGCAAAACCATAACGATCAACCATATATGAAATTTCATATACTAGTATCCAAATCACCATGCGTTTCTTTTTTAAGAGAGTATAGAGGATCTGTGTGATAAAGGTCGTGAATGCTAACAGAAAATGATGTACAACACTTTACGTATGTGCATATTTGATCAGCGTAATCGGACTTATGCATATAAATAAATGGGTCGATGTGACAATTATTATCACAAAATTCATTGTTACATTAATCATCTAAGCTTGGTTGATATCACCGCCGACACATGTTACAGTTATAACTATAATACTGTCAGTTATATATATCGGACATGTCATCAGTTGTGAGAGGACGTCAAACCTATTGCGCCTAGCGAAGAAACTTTGCAAGTAGATGGTTCCTCAGAAATAAGTTGTGAAATGCAGACGGGTATTCGGGTAAGTATGTTTAGTGCTCTTGTTATTCTTGTGTATTCACATTATCCGAATCACAACACAAATCTTCAGACAGGAACATTGCAACGATGGTAGAATGATAAAAGTGACAACATCATTTCCACCATCATTCATAAGAGATCATTGCTAAACAGTGTTTACAATATGCATGATACTGGTAATCTTGCAATGCTAGTCTCTGACCTGAAGGTGGGTCTTGAGAAACAGATATTATGTTTGATAAAATATTTTTGCAAAAAATATATAAAAAATCTATCTGATAAAATAGAAAAAAATTATTTTTTTTCATTCATGAAACTACAGATATGTTGACTAACCAAAACTGTTTTGAAGCGCATCTAGAGGATATGTTTGTTTCAGCTCATGTATGAGACACAAACAAGACAAGGGAAATACAAATAGATGTGTAACTATTATATAAAGAATTCAACAGAAACTGTCCAAATTTCAGGACCGCGTGACGTATTGACTTACGCAAAAACATGCACGGCTAAGATAGTATACGCAAATTATCGATAAATTCTAATGCGTGCGTGCGTGCGTGCGTGTGTGTGTGTGTGCCATCCGTAAGTGTACACATGTTCTTCTGTGAACACCCAGCGCATTTCGTAAAGGTCGGTCAATGGTAGTGAGTAGACTTAAAGCACTCACTATGTGTTATGCACATATATATGGTTACATCGAAGTTGAATTTCTCCACTAACTTGGGGGAACCAACTACAAACCTTAAGCAGGTGAACTGCACGAGGATCATGCATCAAATTGCTGAAAAACATGTGCAAATATCGTGCATGTGAACAGCTACGTTTTGGTGTAAAATTTGTTAAGAATTCGCAAATTTTCACTGAGTTTCATCATTTGTTGAACTCATAACAATAATCTTTTAAATTTGTTTCATAATACATCATTTCATGTGTAAACAGTACCTTTAAACAGTATGGGATATTTTGCAAAATCTAGTTTTGAACAGTTGACTGAAGTAAGTGGCTACATTTACACTAGTGAGTCTAAACTTTTGACGGGTAGTATATTTGACATTTTCTTTGATGTGAACGTCGTGTGAATGGCAAATTGCGTTGTGGAAAGTTGAAGTAATATTATAGGCAACAAAATATTTGAAACATTTAAAATCTACCGCCTGTTTCAATCTAATGTTGTGATTGTGAAAATGTTGATGGGGATTTGTGGCTTTCCTACACGAACAATATCCAGTAATGCTATATTTATATATCAAAGTTGAATTATAAATGTTTAACACTGCAGCATGTACGTATTTCCTTTGGAGTGTAATATTCACGATTGTAATTTCATATACACTTGAAAAGCCTTATCATGTTATGTTTTAACACCTTGTGTCGATGGCGATTCAGAAACACCCACCCTACAATCAGTCGACTCTTCTTTCAGTCGAAAGTTCTTATCAATAAAGAAATGATTGTGTGGCATCTATTTACCGAAAATATCAAGTCCCATATTGCCTTTGCTGTAATAACCTGCAAGCGCTTCATCCATCCATCCATCTGACTGAAGCAGCGTGTGTCGCGATCAGAGAAACCTACTAGCAAGAACCATAGCTACATGGCACCGGCACTGGAATTAAACATGTCACGTGCTTCAAAGTCGTCATGTGATTAAACGTTAAGTTATGCTTGGTGGGAGCATCGACTTTAATACATATGAAACCAAAGCCTAATTTTGTAATGGTAGAGTATATTGTAAGAAAAAGTGGCTGAACAGTTGACACAACATGTTTTTCAATACACATTAAGTTATTGTGGCGAATATATGTTTTAAACTAAACTTCGAATGAGCCAAATACTAGAATTCATCACTTTTTTAAAGAAAATGCCTGAAGGATGACGAAGAAGATTTGGTGATCAAACGGAGTTTGAAGCGTAAACAACGTAACATATATTGGACTGACACCCCCTCGCCTATTTGTACTATATATAGTACAATGGTCATTTCAATAACTACATGTATATGATTAAAGGTTTAAATTTAAGTTCTGATGAAATCATGGAAATGAAAAATATACATGGTTCGCAGCGTAGCCACCATTGTAGCCACCAGTAATGACAAGAAACATGGATGAACGGCTTCTATATTACAATACATTGCAGTGTAGATTCCACCACCCAGGGAACAACACGAACTACTAGGAGCAGTTTACTAAACATGCAGTGAAACATGCAGACCCCGAAATAAATAACGTTATAACTTGGTGTCGTGTCTGTCTGACTATATCCATGACAAGCCATAGTATTCATAGAGGATATTATATGAGTGCCCATGTCAAACTATGTTTACGACACGAGCGAGAGCGAAGGATATACTAATATATAGGCACGAGTGTTGTGAACATAGTATGATATGGGAACGAATGTAATATTCTATTTATTGCCGAAGTCATCAAATTGAGAAAAATAAACCCAAATCTACTTTCAAGCAAAGGCTGGCTACCTGCCATCGCCGCATGTAGAACGCAACATCATAGAAGAAACTTGACGTCATAGCATTATTCATGACGTCACGTCAGTGATATTTTGCCCTAGGGTATCTTAAGAAAAATATGAACCTCGTAGGTGATAAAGTGCGATAATATCAAGCCCTCACTAACAACCTCAAAGACGTCAACATCAGACTCCAAGAAGCCCTTGACATAAAAAAACCCCCTATCACCCATCATCTGAAACCAGGGCTGCAACATATCCCCGGCTTACTATCAAGTCATCATTGACTCAAGGCAGACATAATCCTTTTGGGTTGTTTGTTCACACGACTGGCTTCATTTGTAAGCACCTGATTTACCTTAAACCTCCTACAGTGACTCCTTAACTGACTTCTTTTCCCTCCATACATGCCTCCCAACACTACCCTGTCCATCACGTGCTTGATAAAGGTGGAACAATCTACAATGAGACGTGTTAATACAGAAGCCTTTCATCCAAATATCTTATCCCTACGTCGAACTCCAACTTCTAAACACCTCACAAAGAAATTGGAATGATGTGTTCGTACCTATCCTCTCAGAGGGCCAATATATTTACTCTAAACTGTAAAACAACTGACTATGTTCCTCACAGAGAACAATGCCATCTGAAAATCACCAGTACGTTGACAATGTGCCCAGGGTAAATGAAGCCACAGACTCTCTGGCACCAGAGGATGAAGACATTTGTAACCAAAGCACCTGTTTCACACAAACAGGAAATGTCATATATGGTGTTGATGAGCTGCCGAGCCCAGTCCTGTTGCCGTTGTTTGGCATTCAGGTAAATACATCCATACTCAGTAGACGTCCCCTATTACTTATCTCGTTATGGATATAAGCTTTGGCAGTGATAGTTCTTATTGCATATTCCTGAGGCGTATATCTAATCAAGACCACAGTATATACGTTTGGATCAGAGTACTGGTATCCTAACATCTTCTGAGTGTCATCGTAACCTGTTTGGGTGGGAATATATACAATTTAGTTTCGTGATTGGCTGTTTAAAGATGGATATGTATCTTGCTCATATGCCAGTATGAAGGTAAACATTACAACTATTTACAGATTGAATTATATAAATGGCAAATTAAAATACTTAAGATAAGCAAATCTATTATCTGTCATGAATGGATCTCTACAACGACAATTATAAAGAAAGAAAATTAAAGAAACTATCGCCCCACAATAGACGTTTTGCTCATCTGCCTCTTCAAAATGACTACCCGATCTATGTACCAGCATCAACGACAAGAATTTGCAATTAAAGAGATAGCTTACAGTTAACCGTTGATACCATGTCGAACCATGACGGAGGTATATGATGATAGCTCGCATGTGATTGATAGTAGCAGCATTAGTTGTAAAACACGTTTGATTGTTAACACAGAAACTAGATCCAAAAACGCATTCTTGCTGATGCTACCATTCCATTTTTTCGCACATTGATTGGAATGATGTCGATTCTGCATGTAGAGGTTTTATTGATCTGTGTGTAAAACAATCAGAAGGGCGTGCGTTTACGGTGGACAACATGATAGGCTTTAGATTAAAACATCTCCTTTAGCAATTTGAAACCTATTCTGTACTGTTAAAGCACGCACTGATATATACTAGAGTTAGTCAACTGAAACCCTTAGATAATCATAAAAATATGCGCATGCATACGTGTTTCTCAACAAACATTACTCGGACCTCTCTATAACCGTTCCTAAACTGAAGATACCGTATGACGTACTACATATACAGATATCACAATGCTTTGAAGACATACAGTTAATGTATCCTGACAAAACGTCTTATACACACATTAATGTATCATAGATATTCCAGTATGCTATAGATATTCAGGTTACATGTTGATGAACTTGCCCCGTTCATCTTGCCTTCCTTAGAATAATAATCCTTTCCGGCTGGAATGAACAATTATTGTAAAGACTTTTTGTACTATTATTGGTGCTAAATATCTTTAACTCATATAGTCCAGTGTGGACATTTATCATAAATTGTCCATGGATGTATAACACTGTCTGTTTTTTAGCAACTGATGATGTGCATTGGTGGAGTGATATCAATCCCTCTTCTTACCTGCACAGTCATTTGTGCAGGTGAACTTCCAGAGGTGAAGGCTCGGATTCTCAGCATATCGCTCTTTGTGTGCGGTATAGGAACCATTCTCCAGAATATGTTCGGAGTCAGGTACCGCCCATTACACATATATAAGAAAGTTTTCATTCAGTTATATTGAATGTTGGACGTTGCTTTAAACACTTTCTAAAACATACAGAGTTGTAAGAGTTGTTTCTGAACTAAAAGAAGTAATATCATATTTAACACGATATGAACTTAGATCAAAATATTTTTTGGATCACATAATTTGAGCCAGTACTCCTCAGCTTATAGAACCGTACGTTGATGTTGGCTCAATAGCTCGCCTCTTCCAAATTCAAAAGGAAAAGTTGTTCATTCATTTAAACAATATTTGGTTTTTGATAAAAAAAATAGCGTTTTGAAAGGTTCACATCTGTCTAATGTGTGTGTATCTACGAAATCTTCAACATTCCAGATTACCAATAATCCAAGGTTCGTCTGCAAATTTTTTGGCAGCAATTATCTCAATGACGTCGACAGACAAATGGAAGTGTCCTGTTGAAGGTAAAGTTTGTATGTAGGTCCCCGATATTGGTCTTTGGACGTCATAGCATTATTTCTTATCAACGGAACAGTAAGGCAATTATATACCCACGAAAACGATATTCTAAAATGTCAGAAGATTACAGAAATACAAAGAATTACCGAGTGGAAATGAAAGATTCTTGAAGAGGGAAGGGTAAGATGTAGCATGTCTATCAACAGATCATCTTGGTGCCAAGTTGATGGTGTTTTGCAAGGATACAAACAAGTCAGAAATTAGAAAGAGGTGTCCAATCAGCGATTGACCTTTTGAGATGACAATATCAATAGTGATTCACCCCCTCCGTTTCTGCGTTATGATACACTTAGAATGTATCTCCAGAAGACCAAGCTCTTGTCCATATTTACTCCGTGTTTTGTCTGTCACTGTAGAGTGGCTGCTTACATGTGATTTCTACTCATCTGGTCAGGAATTTGGTGGCCTGGGCCAAGTTAATAACGATTTGATTAGCTGTTTGGGCCAGATGTATTATTGTCTGGTGTCTGATTATTCAATATATATAATACTGAAATCGTGCTGTTGACCTGGAGCGCATTAAATATTGGATACGATCAAACAGTTTGAAACATGGCAGTAGCCGTCGGAAGGTCATCTAACATATACTCATGCCAATAATGGTTGTCACCCCTTCATTTTTTTAATAGGAGAGGGATGTGGGGTGGGGTGGGGAGGGAGGGGTGACAACCATTATTGGCATGAGTATATTTGGAATGAATACATCATTTAACATGTGTCCAATACGGCAGATATCCTTTAAATCGTTGTGAATGTGGATGACCGTGGCGTACCTCAGCCTATGCAGGAAATATATGACTAACACTTCTTTTTCATTCATAAACAATGAGACGTTTCGACAGGAACACTTTATTGAACTTCATCCAATTCGCATTGTACGCAATAATAGTTCTGCAAACATTCACTACAGACAGTACACTGTAAATACTCGAGCTATATATATATATATATATATATATATATATATATATATATATATTTGCATGTACACCACAATGGGCTCCCTATGAGTGCGAATCACGGGACTACTTTCACAATGTTTAATGACATTTAGTGTAATGAGTTCGAAATTTAGTTTAATTCAATTAAAATTTGGAGCGATATCTAGGTTTACTCTGGATGGTTCTGTCATCAATGCCCTCTGGATGCGTATGTCAATGGTTACCTCTTGCTTCTGTTTGCACCATCAGATCACTCTAACAGAAAATACGCGACACATTCCAAAAGTGTGCCTCACTATTGAAAAAGCATACTATTCTGTTCTTCTGCTACATGTCTAATACATACTAATCTGTACTTCTGTTACATGTCTGATACATACTATACTGTACCATGTCTCTGATACATACTATATATCTACATGTATACCACATTACTATGTATGTTCCACTTGTTCACACATTGTATATCCTCCACGTAGCCTGATATTGCAAACTATCCGTCACGTCTGGTATTTGGAAATATGTCTAAATAATCTCTTCTGCACTTTGTGACTTTGCCACATCTCGAGATCATCGGTTGTATTGTTCGCGCAGGAACATCACCACACCAAGCTAACGGGACTAACGACATGCCTTGGGTAGTCCTGGTGCGAGAGGTAAGATATTATGAGAATACACAAAACACAGTACTACCTCAGGTTTCAATGTTCCAGCTCGGAAGATTCACTGTTCATCAGATAATGACTAATAATGAGTTGACCTTGGTAACAGTATCCATCTTAACAGGTCAACATCGAATCTGCGTCTGGTGCAGTTCAAATAGCACTTACCTAGACAATCTATGATGCAAAACTGTTTGTATTATATATGAACCAGTTTAAGTACACTAAAGGCCAAAAGAAACGTTACCCTCCTTCCTTAATGAAGGGGGTACCTATCTTTAACTGGCGTTGTGATGCGTGGACGTCCATTTCTTGGGCTGTCTAAGGGGACCCCAGTCTGTCTGAAGCCCTGAATAAGTCTTATAACCGTGATACGATGGCATCCGATGGCGTTGGCAACGGCATTGTATGTTGACCCCATCTGTACCATTACAATAACTCCTTCTCTCTCTTCAGCTGTTAATCGTGGCATATTTCTCTTACTTGAGAATAATATCATGCATGCTAGGCTCTCTTTGTACCCTACAGAATCATTCTACATGTAAAGTGGATGCAAATACTGCTTGAATATTGCTGCGTTTTGGCGATTGATATTGCTATGTGTAAACAGAAAATTGAAAATTGTTACTTTGCAAGCAAAAATGTGAACAAAGATAATTTAAGATGTTCCCAAACATTTTTTCACAATATCACAGACACGTTTTACTTGTTTTCACTAATGCAAATCAGCAGAAAATGTTTTAAAAGACTGTAATCATAGGAATGATTATTTTACACACAACTTTTACAACAGTTGTTTCTTGTTTTAATAGTTGAAAAATGGTGTCTTTAAATGGTTTATCTTTGTCTCAAACAAGGTTTTTATTTCAACTTTTCTTTTGGACATCTAAATCACTGTTATTGGTTTATTGCGGCATGGACGAACATAGGACAATTTAACTCTTCTGAAAAAGATGCATTTCACCTAAATATGAATGCATATGAGAAATATTTTTCGTGATTTGCATAAAGCTGTGTTGTTCAGCTTTCTTGTAAACTAATACCTTCTAACATATCTTTGATAGTTTTTGAGTAATTCGTAAATGTATGAGGGTAACGTTTCTTTTGGCGTTTAGTGTATTGTTTAAAACGGATCATGCTTAAAAGATCACCGCATATCGAACACATTTTTTTTGCTTTCAGACTTAACTTTATTTCTCTATATTTACAACATGATTAAATACGTACCAACATGAGTAACTTGTCTAATCCGATTTCTAAATAGATTCAGGGTAACTCCATGCTGGCATCTCTGACACAGATTGTGTTGGGGGCAACAGGTGTCCTTGGTTTACTGCTGAGATTCATAGGGCCACTGACCATCGCTCCATCTATTGCACTGGTTGGCCTGTCTCTCGTCCCGCTTGTGGCCACCATGTGTCAAGACCAGTGGGGCATCAGCATTGGGTAAGACCATTTTGCATTTTGTTTAGTGTGTAAGAACCAATTCATAACATGGCAACATAGTCACACTTTGTCATATTATTCTCGTGTATCCCACCTTTTCGAAATGACCTAATTGTATCATTTTGAGGTAAGGCGATATATTTGGATAGGTACTGTTGAATTGTCGTCGTCGTCCAGACTCGAGTATTTACACACCGTCGCCATATAGCTGGAATAATGGTGAGTACGTCGTTAAGCAATAGTGTGAGTGAGTTAAATTTAAGGTCACATTGGCAGTACTTCAGCCATGTCGTGACAAAGTGAGTGGTATATAAAAAAATAGACTTAAACAATATAAATGTCTGTCGACAAAGGACAGTGAAATATCTAGATTATCACAGATGAAAACTTAAAACTAGCATGTAATCATGAAACAATATTTCTACAGAACAACACAATATGATTAATGGCCTTTAGATAGCCAATAACTGAAGGCAGATCACCATACTAAGAACCATAGGGACTTATAGTACTTTTGCTACTAGAAAAAACTATTTTATACATATCGCACAGTTACTTTTTCCGTGAATATGTGTGCAGTAATGGCATCACTTCATGTATTTGTTTTATGAAGGCACGCTCATACATTATCAAGTAAATATTACACGATCTCATGACAAAAAAATCATTTTATTTATCATCATGTCGTGTAAAACAGATAAACAAACGCCCAAAAGACCCACACGGGCTATAGCACATAGCCAGTGTTACATTTCAATGATGTAGAGACGTCACTGAACCACATAAAAGTCATTGCCTGTCGTATTATCTGAAAGGAAAAGAATATTTTCCAGCTCTTGTCCGTCTTAGTAAGAAACCAGTTCCGACATCTCTTCTCAATACGCCACTTTCAAGATAATACATTATGAGCATTGCACAAATAAATAAACCAAAATCTTCCCTCGTTATACAACATTCGTTTTGACATGAACGAATATATGGATGTATCATCATTTCATAACGTCTCATTTTTACTGACAGTACGATGGTCCTTGTGGTATTTTTCGCCTTGTTCCTGGGGACATTCCAAATTCCTATTCCAGTTTATACGAGAACGAAACGGTGCCACACAGAACGTTATCCTTTGTTCCAGCTAGCTCCGGTGAGTTGTTTGTTTTTTTACTTTCACACCAGCTTTACAATGTCAGAAGGGAACTTAGTTGGATTCTGTCATAAATTTGACGTTTTAGTTTTTACACTACTATCTCAGATGACAAACTTAAGTAAACGTCTTCATCCCTTGATTCGTGTGTATTTGGTTTCCAAAAGTTGTGACCATCTTCAGAGTTTAAGACCAAATGCCATCTGCAGGTTATTTAGTAACCAGTATCTGAAATGTTGGCCATATTCGTCGATAATAATTATGAAAAATTCGGGTAAGGCATTTAGACAGGAAGTATACATTCCCATGGGCAAGCGAGGTAGTTAATATATTTTACTCACGCTTCGCGTATGTAGATGATCTGATGTCGTCCAATAACCGTCAAATATCCCACTCTTTGACACTGATCTACACACCTGAACTGGGAATAGGGGAGGCCAGTGAGACAGCTTCGTTTGTTTCACATTTAGACTTAAGCACGGAGATTCAGATTGACAAAGTTCTCTCCACTATAGTATCTGACAAAGGGAGGAGTTGAACTTGTCGAGCAATATAACAGATGCTCCAGCCATTATGGTTCACATTTCACAACGTTTGCGGTGCAATCTTACATCCTCTTCCTGCAAAGATTTCAAATGCACCATGGAACTCTTGCTCTGTACCTGTTTGATCAAGGTTACGACATTCCGCCCCTCAATAAAGCTTCCTAAAACCATTAGTGGCAGACATGTGGATGACATTTCTAAATTGACGCACCAGTGACAAAAATTATGTCCAATGCCAATCCCAAAATAGATTTGTACCATTTATAAACATGTTGGTGCAGATGAACAAGTAACTTGTCTTAGTATAGGTTTTGTAACGGGAGCCACCGCGTCGGCAGTATACTCTCTTGCGAAAGCATGGTATTATCGCTACTTAATAGTAAACACCTGTATGTGATGTACCTGGATACAACATGCAAATAGTCGCGTTTAACGCATGGTCAGCAGGTATTGGCAGTGTCACTGTGATGACATTGACACCCGCAGTTTTGATCTGACAACAAATGGAAATCCACTGAACATAATTGAAAACGCGACACCTGTAAATTTTGAAATATGGTAATAGGATTGTTTTGAGAGTGAAAATGAACGTTGGAAATGTTGTTAATAACACAAAAAACAATAAATAATTCTGTACAGTAAAGAAGGGATTGCCGAACACATCACATGATAACAACAAAATTCATGCACAACATACACGAAAAGCACAAATTGCATGCGTAAAACATGCTGATTAGGGTATTAATGACCGTCAGCAAAAAACCGTTCTCATTTTAGATGTACCTCCGCACGTAAAGTTTATTTTGCAATGCCAAGATTGTCACCAGAGGAACGAGAACGGGTGTTGGGCATGTTGCAGGATTGCACATCAAGCAGGAGTATTGCCAGACGATTTGGTTGCCATCATTCCACCATCATAAGACTTTGTTACCACCCCTCGCCAAGATCGAGACATTGTTCGGCGCCATATTCGGGATAGTACTTTGCCGGCTGCCAGAACCGCCAACGCTGTCCAAGGCCGACGTAGTTTGATCAGTGCTTCCACCGTCCGACGCCGTCTTCGTGCGGCAGGTTTACGGTGTCGACGCCCTCATGTTGGACCCATCCTGACTGATAGACATCGCCGTAAACGCCGACGATGGGTTGAACAGCATCTTTTGTGGTTGTTACGACGTTGGCATGGTGTTGTGTTCTCCGACGAGTCACGTTTTCACTTGGACTGACTGACTGAGTTTGGTTTTACGCCGCTTTTAGCAATATTCCAGCAACATCACGGCGGGGGACACCAGAAATGGGCTTCACACATTGTACCCATGTGGGGATTCGAACCCGGGTCTTCGGCGTGACGAGCCAACGCTTTAACCACTAGGCTACCCCACCGCCCCTTTTTCACTTGGAGACGTTGCACAGCTTGTGTTGCTGCTAACGGTGGTCATACACGTTACTGACTTCCAAATTTGACTCTTTCTTTCCAATCTTTCTTTCATGGTCAGCTGAATTAAAACTTCACTGTTTTGCTGGATTGGTTCTTGTTTCTTTTCTTTACCAATCATTGGACTACAAAAGTATGTAAAATTTACACCGATTGCTCATTTATGCTCTTGGAAACTAATACAGGTGGCGCGTTTTCAATGATGTTCAGTATATATTACAATAATATGATTGTAATTGAACATCCTTAAAGGTTCTGCTTTCCTTCGTCGTCATGTTGACCCTCTGTTGCGTGCTGACAAAAACAGGCGTGTTTCCTAGCAACAGCACAGACCCTGGTTTCCAGGCCAGGACAGATTCAAGACTCCATGTCGTGAAGGATGCCCCGTGGTTTTACTTCCCATACCCAGGTACAGGTCTCACAAGTAAATGCAGAAACATCCGTTATCAGTTTCACCGTAAAGTATATGAGTCATCGAAATGTCAGCAACAAGACATAAATGATTCTTTGTTCATCCATTTCGTAATCATTTAAAGGTCATCACGTCTACTGTCCAATGTGGTACACTATACAGTTAGAAGGAATGGTTGTTCAGCGTCTGGTAATCTAAAATATTGACTTAGAGCCTCAAGCTAAACGTGTCAAAATGTACATGTCACATTCTACAGAATTAAAGACCCTTTGTCGTTTGTTTGTCTCACTCAAAATGTTAGTTTCGTTTACATTTCGTTTTCCAGAACAACATTGAGCCTTGGTTCTACATTGTTCCTTAGTGGAAGGTCTGAGGCATCTCATTTATGTAATGTTAGACAACAAAATGACGAGTAATCTGACTGATTTTGGGTTGTTGCTTGTGCTAGGATACACTAGATTATCTGCCCACATGAGATAACGACACACTTTCACTTCTTCATACTACAGGCCACTTGGGTTGGCCCACTATCAGTGCTGCCGGATATGTGGGGATGTTGGCAGCTACCATCGCCTCCATCATAGAGTCTGTCGGAGACTACTTTGCTGCTGCCCGTGCCTGCGCCGTCCCTCCTCCCCCCTCGCATGCAGTAAATAGGGGGATTATGATGGAGGGGCTTGGATGCCTGATAGCCGGCAGTGTTGGTGCTGTGCATGGGATAACATCTTACAGCGAAAACATTGGAGCGTTAGTTGTAACCAAGGTCTGTGAAGCTAAATATCTCACAATTCATATATTATTGATAGATGCAATTATAGTCGAAATAGATTAGACACGTGTATGGGAAATATCTGTATCCCTTGAAATATAACCAGTCATGGAATTTCGAGATGGGACTGAAATTGTCTGAGCCGTTATGAAACTATGAAGAACTGCTTGATTGTGTTGCTAGTTGTTACGTATTAATAATTAATTATTTCTGGGGCCTACGTTCCTCTGCCAACGACGCCTGGATCCCTGGTGTGAAAAACGTTCTCAAATGATGTTAAAGGTCCTTACACTGCATATATGACATGATCATCATTTGCCTAATACTGTCAGACAGTGAGTCAACTATGAAATCTGGTTACGGTCTGACAGTGTCAAATCTGGTAAAGATAAAGGATGTTCGGTGCGTTCATGGGGTGATGATTACTAATCATTCAATCAGATCAGCTTGGTCTGCTTCAAAACAATATACGGGGCGGTGGGGTAGCCAAGTGGGTAAAGCGTTCGCTCGTCACGCCGAAGACCGGGTTCGATTCCCTACATGGGTACAATGTGTGAAGCCCATTTCTGGTGTCCCCCGCCGTGATGTTGCTGGAATATTGCTAAAAGCCGCGTAAAACCAAACTCGCTCAAAACAATATACATTCTCACCAGCGATTATGAACCTTGAGCGTTTGTGGTGGGAAGTCGAAAGCCATTGGAACAAGCCTGCTGAAACCTGTCATATCTCGCACAGACCACATGAAGGAGGTCTGTAAACAGACCAGACAATACAGTGATTGACATCAGGAGCGTCAATCTACACAACTTGGATCAACCGAAACAGCGAGTCTCACCACCAGAGGCGTATGTTGCTGAAGGGCTGAAGTTATTATGCCTGTTATAATTGTTTATCAAACCGTCCTCCAGCTAAATGTTTCAACTTCTGTTATTTACTGAGTTTGTTGCACAACTGACGAGCTTTTGACTTCTTCCAGGTTGCAAGCAGGTCTGTCGTCATCACGGCAGGTGTCATGCTGACTGTGTGTGGCATGCTGGGTAAATTCGGTGCTGTGGTCAGCCTCATTCCTACTCCAGTGATTGGTGGCGTGGCCCTAGTGACATTCGGAATGGTGGTCGCTGTCGGTCTGTCTACTCTGCAGTTTGTGGATTTGTCTTCATCGCGGAACCTCATGGTGCTTGGTCTGGCGTTGATGTTAGGGATGATACTACCTCAGTGGGCGAAAAACAACCCCAAAGCTATTGACACAGGTTCGTGTCCTTGAATAGCTGTTTATCGACTATCATCTCGGCAAAAAAAATCATAGACTCGTGAAGTAAGGGGTACGCAACATTTTGAAAAATTTCGGAAGAAAATTTTAAAACATGTTATTGCTACTGGAAAGTAAGGATGCATTAAAGTTGTGCCTTGTTTTACTAAACTGAGACTGTTTATTTGAGCAGCTTGTCTTGTTAGCTGGTACTATTAGGACTCAGGCTACAACGAAAAGGGCAAAGCACAAACAAAATACTCTCCTTGAACAGGGATTTAACCGTATCCTTGTTTGTGGAAATATCGCAAACCAAAGAACTCGCTTATTTGTCATGGCTAGGAAAATCAGGCAGTGTGGCGTGAGTTAGGATCCGATTGTATTTGTTGCAGGCATCAACATTTGCCATCTAATTGTAGGTAATGAAGAATTGACCCACATCTTGAAGGTCCTTCTTGGAACTCCCATGCTGGTGGGCGGCATGGTTGGGTGCATCCTCGACAACATAGCTCCAGGTAAACTGTAACACCATCAGGAGAAGATATTGCAACTTTCTTTCTGTACAGTTAATATTTTCGTTCACCGGTCTCCCAATTAATGTAGTGATAGTAAGTGGTAGTGAGTGAGTTTAGTTTTACGCCGCTTTTCGTAATATTTCACCAGTATCACGGAGCAATGAGCTTCACACATTGTGCCCATGTCGGGAATCGAACCCGGATCTTCAGCGTGACGAGCGAACGCTTTAACCACTAGGCTACTCCACCGCCCCGATAATAAGCGGTAGACATACGTTGCATACCCTGGGCTTTGCAATGACACATATTTCTATTGTTCAGCAAATTGAACAGCCCAACATATGTTTCAAAGTGATTTGGATTAATTTACAACATGGAGTTATTTCCCTACGGTTTGTAGATCATTTTTTGTTGGTATTGCTTTGTATTGTATTGCTGGTATTGTAATTCTTATTGCTTTAAATACTTGAGACAATGGAGCAGCTGGCCTTGGATGTGTGTTAACCAAGGATGTCTTATTCCAAAACCAAAGACGAGAGGAAGTGCTAATATAATAAAATACGTATTCTTGTAACTAAGCAGTTTGTTTGGCCCAGGAACTGCAGGAGAGTGGGGATACTGAGGTAAAAAATATTCCTGTAACTATGCATTTTTAACTTCCAGGAACTGCAGAAAGGGGATGCTGAAATGGAGGAAGGGAGAGGGCAAAGGGAAATATGCCAGTTTCATGTGGTGACACCTCCACATACAATCTGACATTCATTACAAAGTACCTTCCAGAAGGTCTCAGGTGCAGCTGGTTCCCAGTGTCCCCAGCCTACAAAGAAGGGTGCCGTGGTGGACATGGAAGAAGACCTCAAATGATTGGACTCAATGCTGACACTAGTTGCCTCAGACCTCAGTGATGACAACACGCACAGCTGCAGTAATCCCATGGAACTTGTCATTAGTACCTGTATGTCAGTATACATCACGTCGGTGCAACTGTAGTTATATAGATTTGTATTTATTAAAAGCAAGTGTATATTGAGTTGTTCTGCTCAAAATGGGCATTTCTCTCCGGAGTTTAG